TAGACATCAAAGGTCATCTAGCACTATAGGAAAGTAGAGTAAAGGGGGATGTTAGGTGATAGTTATGTGTCAACTATCTAGAATAGTGTTGAGAGGTTGAAGATGAGGGAAAAAATATGGTGGTTTTAGGTAAGGGAGTTAGATCAAGTGAAGGATATTTATGTGTCTGAGAAGGAGAACAGGTTGTCGAGGCAGAAGCTGTGAGATTCTGTAAGGATGTCTGATATGTTGGGAGGTCGGTGAAGGGAATATATATAGAAAGTAGAGTAAATGGTGGTGGCGTGTGATAGTTGCTATGCGTCATCTAGAGTAATCTTGAAAGGTTAAAGATGGGTAATGGAGTTGAGGAGTGAATGGGTTATGGTGGTTTAGGTAAGGGAATTAGATCAAGTGAAGGATATTTATGCGTCTGAGGAAGGAGAACGTCGTTGTTCTTGCAGGAGTTACGAGCAAGCCAACTGCCAAGGGGATTCTGCCCACAAGGCTCCCTTCGTTCCATGGCCTGCTTCTTTTAGAATCATTATTTGGATAGCATCCGTACGTGCCGGTTCCTTCGTCGGTGGCACAATGCAGTTCAGAACCTCTTTCATGGACGATAAGTTGACGCGCAATGAACCTAGCCATCTCACCGCAAAACGAGGACTGGCGCTAAATAAAGGAATCGGTACACAACTGATGCGTTTTTATAGCGGGTGAATCCATCGTCAGTATTGTTCTTCTTTCGACATGCGAAGCTTCACCAATTTTTTTTTTTTTTTTATGATCAGAGAACACTTAGTATATTTAATTATGTCGGGATTTATATATTTTTCTTTCTTTCTTAAAAAAAATATTTACGCGGTTTGCTCTCCTTTCCTGAGATTAGACGAAATATAATGCTATATTCATATATTTTCTTTATATCTGTATTACAAGTTCATTTTCATCTTTATTAATGTCGTTCTCTTGAGTTAAGCATTTTGGTTGTATTTCTCTATTTTTCTTGTTATTGTTCGACATGTACGCTTCTCTTTACTTGCTTTGATAGATAGCACCCATTTCCGATTGTACCATTCTTGCCTTAACAATGTATTTTCATGCGATCATGAACTCTTTTTTGTTATTTTCTAAAGTCTTCTGTTGTATCACTTTTCTTATTATTTTTCATTTCATTTTGTGTTTTACTTCCGTTTGGTCGTCATAATACCTATTTGTCATGTTACGATTTTTCAAGTAATCCCATGATCATGCTTGGATGGTTGTTTAAATATTCTAAACGATCAATTGTCATTTAAATCAACAAGCAGTCGTAGTTGTAGTTATGATGATGCAAATACAACCACAAACATGATATTAGTTACCACCATTAATAATACTAAAGGTATTATGATACTTAGTATAATACTGTTTTCATCATTATCGTTGTTTAAGGTATATACGTATTTTTTTCTTATTCTTATATCTCTGGGTATAAGAATTATTTTGATTGTTTTAGATAAGAATATTAGGATAGCATAAATGCAAAAATGACAAAGTACAGCAAACAAAAGCGGTGACGCCTCGGCAGACTTGCTGTCTCGGAGAGCTCATGCCCTTCTTGTCCTGGGAGAGGAGAGAAGAGAATCGCTTTTAGGCCCTTTTAGCGGTTTTGTTAAATATATTGGAGACCTTCCGTAAGAAGTAAGTTTCCTTATATTATTTCAAAAACCCTCCCTTCCCTTTCCCTTTCTTTCTCTCTCTCTCTCTCATACCTAGATCTTATTTGGAAAATAGAAAAATACTCATTACAATATTCATCCATTTATGAGTGTATGGTTCATTCTTATTATTTGTATCTTTTTTCTTTTTCATCTAATGTTTAGAAAACGGCAGAAATGCGGCTATGGAAGAGCGGTTGGCAATAAGGATGAAGAATAGTAAAAAAGGAGGATGAGGGTAATACAAGAAGGAAGCTGTAGGGATGGAGATGAAGTGGAGGATGTTGGGAGAGGAGGAATGTTTTCTGGAAGTCCAGGGCGGACGATTTGGACTAGACAGAGGTGATCTTAATTTATTTATTGAATATTTTCTACCGCGTCAACATCTAGGGTCATTAGCGGCTTATACAAAATTTAGCAATAGAGCAAGGCTTGGAGGGAGAAGCCCCTAGGTACGAATAGGTCATAAAAGGTTTTCTGACGTGTAAAAACTGGATTAGCAATTAAGACAAAACGTGTTAGATAAAGGCTGTAGAAAGAGCTGTACGTTAGTATGGCAGTGAAAAGGGTAAAGAGGAAATAGCAAATGGAGTACAAAGGCCGTTCAAGACTGACAAAGCGTCTTTCATCCTTTCAGCACGGCTCTCACATTTTAGGATGTGGTTAGAAGATGAAAAGAAAGAAAATTGTTAAATGGTTAATGGTTAAAAGCGAAATAAATGTGCAAGACATCTAAGGTCATATAGCACTACAGGAAGGTATAGTAAAGACCATGCAAAATTAGTTGAGGCTAGGTCTGATCCAAGGTAGGGGTAATCCTCCACATTGGGCCCAAGTCCCTGTCTCGTAGCCCCCCCCCCCACGACAACGAGCATGGGATTGAGGGGGGTGGGGGGCAGTTACTGAGTTAATAATCGGATGGGTAGTGGTAACAGAGTTTAGTCTTGGTCAATGTAGAGTCTGGGGTCGAGAAATAGAGGGAATTTAAATCTATGGGGATAGTTGATAAAAGGGTGCAAAATCTTCATCACTGGCCATAGTAAGCCTGGAGTATGTTGGAGAAGGAAACAGTCCATCCTCAGAGTCCCCTTAAGGGATAAGGGCGAGACAATTCAATGAGGGAATGATGTGCCCATGGCTCCCTTTCAGCACGGCTGTCACACCTGAAGAAGTGGATGGTAGAAGGGGTTGGAGAAGCGAGAGAAATGGAAAGGGGATGGTTAATGGTGAAAGGTCAAAAGCAAAATAAATGTGCTCGACGTCTAAGGCTATCTAGCACTATAGGAAGGTACAGTGAACGGTGATTGAGTAAGTAGTTAGTTGCTATGCATCAACTATCTAGAGTAATATTGAAAAAAAAAAATGGAAAGGGGAAGAAGAAAAAATGTGCAAAACTAGTTGAATCCCTAGCATTGGGTCCCTGTCTCCATCTCCTAAGCCCCCAACAGCAACAAAGGGCATGGAATTGGGGGGGGGAGGTAACTTCCTCCAAAGTGGTATTGAGATGAACTATTGATTGCTCCATCCATGGTATTTGTGTCTTTGGCGGACCTGTGAGACATGGTGTGTTTGACGCCGTGCGCAAGATCGATTCCGACAGTGGCCATACTGCATTACACAATTTTCGCCATGTGTCCTTCATCAATATATAAAGAGAACCTGACCTTCCTCAACATATAGGTAACACATAAATGACCATCTATAGTCGGTAGTCAGCCACATGCAAAATTTTGTTTACATCTAGTGGCAGCTTCACTTAAATGTATGGTTACATACTACACACCCAGTTCCATGGTTATGGCAGAATATACTCAAAAGAAGTTCACTGAAAGGCAAGGCAATAATCTTAACACTGTCTTGGATACTGATGAAGACATAAAAACAACTGTTTCATAACATTTGTTGATTTTTTTGTAAATCTATTGACAGTCTTCTACCAAAAATCAATAATAATCATAAACAAATCATAGTAAATCCTTCTTTTCCATTTAGATTTACACATTTCTTCCAGGCTAAAACAAAACCTCTTCTTCTTTACATTGGGCTTTATAAAGCTTTTACAAAGTATACACAACTCTCTACAAGGTGTCATTAGGAAGTTCTTTTGGGTAAAAATATGCGAAAAAATATATATGGCTTACATGACCCTAAAACACATCTCCAAAACAAAATACATTGGTTTGAATGTAATACAGTTTTAAAGATGAATAACATATACAACTTCAAAATATCTTTAAATGAATGGCACACTTACAAGGCTTTCAATAATTAAGAAAATTATCAGAAAATTTAGTAAGTGAGTTTAACAAAAATAGACATGCAATTCCTCAATAACTTCATTATTTTTTTGGTTAAAAAAATACTAAACGTAATTTCTACAAGACTTTTTCCTGTTCACGCAATAAAAATAACGCAGCCAAACTTAATCAGATAAAAAGATAACTAATCAATTCTCACCTTAATTATTATTATCACTGTCTTTCTCTTTTTTTCACTTTTTCTTACATATAGCATTGAAAAAATTATTTGAAAGAGAGTGAGAGAGTGAGAGTGAGAGTGAGAGAGAGAGAGAGAGAGAGAGAGAGAGAGAGAGAGAGAGAGAGAGAGAGAGAGAGAGAGAGAGAGAGAGAGAGAGAGAGAGAGAGAGAGAGAGAGAGAGAGAGAGAGAGAGAGAGAGATGAGAGAGAGAGAGAAGAGAAAGAGAAAGAGAGAGAAAGAGAGAGAGAGAGAGAGAGAGAGAAGAGAGAGAGAGAGAGAGAGAGAGAGAGAGAGAGAGAGAGAGAGAGAGAGAGAGAGAGAGAGAGAGAGAGAGAGAGAGAAAATCTTACACCACACCACATGTTGAGTCATCACTAATGCTACATCTAACAAACTCCATGAATTAGATCTAACATCTAACTAACTTTAGGCTAAGAAGTAAAAAAAAGAAAAAGAAAATAACACTAATATCAAAAAGGGCAGACTCTCTGTTTTGTGTTGTTTTACGTGTTTGTTTATTTGTTTGAGACTTTTAAACATTCTCTCCATCAATTGTTCAATAGCAATGGTTTTCTTGTGATGTAATAGAAAAATGGGCTAACATTGGCTGATGAAAGTTAAACCTGGTAAACAAATGAACCAAGTAAATAAATAATTATACATAAAAAGTAATATTAACAACAATAATAATAATAATAATAATAATGATAATAATAATTTTTACCTAGGGCTACAAAAAAAGTAATATTATCTTACTGTCGACTGCCATTTTCGTGAATTTTGTTTGCAGACACGAGCTCAGTTGCCAAGGAGCCAATTCATAAACCAGCAAGTCCTAAGCTAATG